CAGCCATTTATATATATATGTGTGTGTGTACATGTGTATAATATATATATATATACACATACATATATAGTGATAAAATGAGGTAAACCCAATAAGAAACCATCCATGATGCCCAACTATACCGAGGGGGTATTCAAAAACATAGCCATCCCCGATTTTCAAACATAAAATTGGGCCATACCAAGAATCATGAACCAAGAAAGTGGTATACCGGGTCTACCTAGTTTCATGAACCAAAACTTCAGGATTGTGTAAATTGGCTTTAGGATCGCATGAATTGGTGATTGTCCTTCAGTATTCCTATTTGATAGCCAAGAATACAATCATTAAATACCAACAATATCCATTAAACATATTGAAGAACCATAATTGAGAGTCATTTCAGGTACGGAAAATCGAGGGACTGTACCATAGCCTTAGAAATTGAGGGTATATCCCCTTACATACACCTTACATAGACCTGACATATGGTAGGTACCTCCAATAAATCAGGTACGTGAAATGGACCAGTGATATTACAATGGCATTTCAACAATACGGACATTCAATGCATTTAAATACAATCCATGAATATTGAATAATAACAGCAATGATAGTAGTCACATTAACAACCACAATCAACCATAATATCAATTACAATGGGCCCCCCCCAGTTATAAATTGGTTTATAAACCAATGAAAAAATTACTTACATGTATCATAAACCGTAAATATTGGTGTTATAATATTATATATATAAATAGCCATCATATGCCAATGGCATTGTGGCCTGCGCATGGCAGGTTTTGTGTGACATTTTTTTGCGAAGGCCGAGTGCAGGTGCGCTTCGAAAAAACGCCTCCATGGTGCTGCTAAAGAAATTTCATCCATATCCGCGTTCTAAACATCCTAGGATAGACAGAGGAAAAATGAATATGTTTGAACATATTATATATATATATAGAGAGCAAAGAAATTGATATATATATATATAGATTCTATATTAGATTTACTACATCCCAGAAGGATTATAACTATGATTATAAACATCCGTCTATATTATATTCTATCTACTCCAGGATGATTCTACATAGGTTTCACCAGGATGATGATATATAGGTGTGAAAGCTCGTCTACTGTGGATGGTTGGGAAATAATGGGATTGTAAGGGGATTTCTTGGTGCAGGATTTCGCAAGCATCCACGGTATGTTATATTCTATCTACTCCAGGATATTATATCATGTTATGTTATATTGTATTATATTATATTAATATTAAATTATATATCATATACATAATATATAATATATAAAGTGTACAATATATAATATATTATATATATATTATATATATTATATATTATAATTTATATTTTATATATTATATGTTTATATTTTATATTATATATTAAAAATTAATGCTATTATATATTGAATATTATATATTGAATATTATATATTATATATATATTAATATATATATATATAATATTATATATCATACCCATCCTACCTACCCCCTGCAGAACTACCCCCCTCAGAAGAGATCTGCTGGAAATCTGCGCGGAAATTATTAACCAACCAATATGTTGCTATTAGTGGTTTATTAAGACTCTATTACCTAAACCAAACAAATTTGTGCTGGATAGCTAATAGACTCTTATTAGACGCGGTTTTCCTCACCAAATCTTTGACCCATGAAATGAGACAGGCCACAAACCTTATTAACTGGTTATTAAAGAAAACAACATCTTCGTTGAAGCCGGGCGGCCCTGAGTGGTGACCCTTTCGACTACTTTTGAGGAAATCCTTAATAGACTGTTATTAAGGAATTTGCCCAAAGTTGCGAGTTCCGATCCGGAGAGCCACCCAAAAGTCGGATTCGAGTTGGTTTCGGGTTTCGGGTTTCGGGTTTCGGGTTTCGTCGATTGAAACCAACTTTCGCTGTCGGTTTCGGGTTTCGGGTTTCGGGTTTCGTCGCTTGAAACCAACTTTCGCTGTCGGTTTCGGGTTTCGGGTTTCGTCGATTGAAACCCACTTTCGCTGTCGGTTTCGGGTTTTCGGGTTTCGGGTTTCGGGTTTCGATCGTCCCTGGGGAAGGGTAGGTCTTCAGAGTCGGTTTCGGGTTTCGGGTTTCGGGTTTCGATCGGTCCTGGGGAAGTTAAGTCTTCAGAGTCGGTTTCGGGTTTCGGGTTTCGGGTTTCGATCGGCCCTGGGGAAGTTAAGTCTTCAGAGTCGGTTTCGGGTTTCGGGTTTCGGGTTTCGCAGTTCGAAACCAACTTTAACAGTCGGTTTCGGGTTTCGGGTTTCGGGTTTTGCTGGTCGAAACCAACTCTGCAGACCTCTCTCCGGATCACGTCTCAAAGTTGCGGTTGAACAACCCGGTCGGGGGGGGTGAGGGCGAAAAAAAAAATCAAGACCGGGCCCCGCTGATCGCAGCATGGATTCTTCAAAACCGGCGGCAGGAAATGCACAAATATAGGTGTGTCCAGTTGGCATTAAATTCTTGCAATAGACATTGGGATTGAACATTCTCTTACAGTGTCTCGGTCATAGTCCAATCGCCATGGATGACGATGGTGATGTTGTGCAAGTGGATGCTGCGCAGCCGTCATCTGGGATCATTGCAGGGGTCAGGCTACTGAAAAGCAACTTGCTCTACAAAGGGTGGTGCTTGTGTACTGCAAGAGGTGTGATGGAAGTAAGTACCCCTCCCCCCAAAAAAACAAGATTTGTTCACTTAGAGGCTGCTTCCAAATCCGACCAGCGATCAATGGGGAAGTGCTCAGGGTGTCATAGGATGGAAATTTCCCATTTGTTTTGTGTTTCCGTGAGACCTAGGTTCCTTCCAGGTCGATGCTGACATCAAGTTGACAGCATATACAAGTGCTGATTCTCAAAGTCTCTGGCTCATGCCACCTGCTTTAGCCCTAATTTGGGCTGGCTTGAGTGACAAGAAATTGAAAGACAAATATTACGATCCTTGCCCGGGAATCCTTCGAGGGCCAAAAAGACGATAATCCATCAATACCGCTATCAAATGGGAATTTGGTTTTGTTACGTTTTGTTTGTATTATATGGGTAATAGAGCCTTAATAAACCATTATACATATTCACAAACTTATGCGCAGATTTCCAGCAGATCTTTTCTGAAGGGGATAGTTGTGGCGGGGGCAGCTCTGTAAAATGATATGTATGCTTAATAAACCGTTATTAGCAGCTTAATAGATCATTCCCAGAACTTTCGGGACATATTTTTGGATGTCAATGTCAATAACGCAGGTTGCAACTTGCTCACCTAGATGTTTGTGAACTTAGGAGATGAAAGAAGCAGCGAAAGATATGCACAGACGTCTCTGGCCAGGATGGAGTATAGAAGAACCGGCAAAATCACGGCACCGACCCTTCAGCGCACGTCACATTGAAGGAACGTGGCTAGAACATACCACGGTCACCACATCCATGTTCATGGCTTTTCTTCTTTGGGGGATTTCCCACTGGAAGCGACAAGTTCAGCATAGGAAAGCTACTGCAGAAAACTTTTCAAAATTGATCCAAAGAATGGCATCATACCAAGTTTTGATCTTGGTTGCAGCCCCTGCTTCTACAACGAACTGGAAAACTGTATCCGTTGATTCTTCATTGCGCATTCCCGACTACCTGATTTGGCCTCACCATGCTCAGTCAGTTCAACAACTCCGAGCCCAGTGGGAACAGTTTTGGAGACAAGGGATTGTGCAATCGAGTTTTGACCGCCCAACGGTGACAGATTTTATTTTTTTTGCCATGGAACCCACAAATCATGCTGCTAAAAGCGTAGCTGGTGTTCAGAATTTGGCACTCTGCTTAGTGACCCAACTGGCCGGCCATTTGGATGAGCAAGCATCAGCCATGTCACAGGCAGCTGCTTGGAATTCCCTCTCATAATTGTTTTATTTTGGTTAATAATATTTCCTGTTATCTTACTCACAACCCTGAGGCTGGCCAAGTTTTATCCAAGAATACTTTCTTGAAAACAGGGCTTCGTGGGTGCGAACGGCCTAGGCTTTGACCAGACTTGCGACCACAAGACTTTGCAAGAACAGAGGACACCGGAGGAGCGTCAGTAGAACTGTTTTGTTCGAGGCGGCCACTATGCTTTGGCATCCTGGTGACCCTGGATCGCACAAACCAGCTAGGTAGAAACCCCTCAAAATAAGATCAAAATAGTGACAAAATAGTCAATTTTTAAACATGTTTCTTTTTTTTGGTACAATAATCTTTTTAAGGCATCAAAAAGGCCTTAATAAGGCCTTAATAAAGCCTTAATAAAGCCTTATCTATATCCCCTGGGGGGCTGGGGGTACCACCCTTGGTCATCTCATGACCAGAGGAACCTCCCAAGTGTGTTTGAAAACACGAAGAACAACTTCGGAAAGGAAGCAGGTTGAGTCAAGTGATTCCGGATGGGTCGAAATAACAGATTAATAACACAAAATTAGAAGGTTTCTGATTCCTTAGCCACCCCAGCAAGGTGGTGCCCACCATCACCCTATAGAATGGTTTATTCACGACGGAGAAGTTTCTTAGAGGGGTAATTCTGAACCAATCAGATTCCAATGCATCATGTGCGGGATGAGGAAAACATCGATGAGTATGAGGAGACGCCTGGGAACACTTTCCGGTCCGTCTTGAACAAGCTGAATTATGACCTCAACATGGGCTGGGGCATGCGGGTGCTTAACGCCCCTTTCCCGAATTAGAGTGACAGTTGATTTTAAAAAAACATATTCTGAGATTTGGACTCATGGATTTGATTTGCGTGGATTTTCATATTTCAGAGAACGGCCCAGGCCTGCTACCTGGACACTGCTGTCCGCCTTCTACGCCACATCGACGTGCTGCATGTTCCCTGCTCAAAATGAGTCATTTCAAGCGGCCATTCATGAAAACAGAGCATCCCAAGTCAAGCTGCTACTATTATAGGCTTAATAACGGTCTATTAAGAAGCCATTAACTATTGTGTGTCATTGTCAGGGGGCATGTTTTGGAATTTCAGCCGTTTCATCTTCACAAGGTTGCCAGTTATTTTTTTGGCGCTTGGGCACCAGCAATTTCTTTGCCTGACACCCGCCAAGATCTATTTTGATGGCAGCAGCGTTGGACGCAGTCCAATCGAGCTTTTCCACCTGTGGTCTCCACAGCTGGAGAAAGGGTTCTTTGGGCCCCCACTGGCCGGGAAACCTAGTTGCGTGACCTTGTGGGCAAGCAAGCCACTTTACCCCGTTTACAGTGCTTTTGAAAATTGGTTCATTTGCGGCCTTTAGGTCAGTTAGTGATATGAACTATCGGAACCAAGTAGGTAGAAAGTTAGTGATATGAACTATCGGAACCAAGTAGGAGGTAGAAAGTTGACTTCGTCACTGACAATCACGGTGTTCCGTTTCTCATGTGGATTTTGGATGATCAGCCCACGCCACTACATTGGGTCATGCTCGGCCGCCCCGTCTCCTGGTGTTCCAAAAGTCGTGGCTGCATGCACAGCAATGCAAGATCACCAAACCATCAACATGTCATTGACATGCAACAACATCTTAACAAATAGAACATTATTAAAGGACTATTAAGCCTGTATTAACAAAGGTGAACCAACTTGTGAAGAGCCACTGGGCCCCTATTGCATCCCATCTTTTGCAGCATGGCGCAATGATGCTGTCTTCACTCGATGACATGGAGGTAGACTCCACTGACGGCAGCTCGGAACTTACTTGTATCTCCGAAGCCAGCTCAAATGCGCCTGCGTGGACCCAAGCTTCTTCTTGCAGCTCAGAGCCGCTGGAGGATTTTCTGAATCCTCGAACATCTCTTATAGGAATACCACCAAGGATTCATCAGAGCAGAACCCATGAAAATAGTGGTCTAATAACTGGGTATTTGCTTATTGTTGGAGGTACCTTATGGGGGGACGGGTCCGATAATCATTCATTTCTCGGCCGCAACGCCAACAACGATTTATGGTAGTCTAATAAGGGCATTGCTGGTTGCTAGCACCATCATTAAAATTTGGTCCTTGATCGTTGTGACGCACACATGTAACAAACTTTTTGCTGGGACATGGTGATTTCAAAGTAAAGGGCTACAAAATTGTTGAATGAAATTCTGAAATCGTGCCTCCACAACCTCCGGTCACATTTTCAGCCTACGCGTTCCCCAGGAGCTAGCGCACGATCCTACGACACTGGCCAGATCTGCCAGATCCTTTCAGATAGCCTGGAAAGTCGTGAAAGATTTCATGGACAAATCGGTTCTGGAGGATTGTAGCGGGCTCGTGGCTCACCCCTAAACAAATGATCCCCCTAAACAACGGATCCCATTTCTGACTTTTTGAATTAAAGGCAAGGTGTATTGCAAAAGTTATCCGTACAGTATTGTGGCGGATCGGTTTTTCATGGAAGTCTGTTCCCATGCGAGGAGTCTATGCTTGCTGCAGGGGAAATCCGTGTTTCCTCTGCCTGCACCGGGGCGTACACGGCCGAGCTGGCCTTGGGGGTTCTTGAAAAGACCATCAATGACACAAATGTGTTGAACCGCAAGGTTACATTCATACCCAAAAGTTCTCACGAAACTTGGTTCTAAATTTTAGGGAGTTGACTGACGCATAGTTTTTACATTCCAGCCATTGGGATTCAAGAATCAGCCTCATTGCCTCATCCATAATACAGGGCTAATAAAGGGTTAATAAAGGGTTAATACCTGTTTTGGTCTGTGCCTGCAGGTCAGATTTCGGGGAGCTATCTAAGATCCTCGTGTATCCAGCCCGTGGTCGTTCACCCAGGAAACAGATCACCGATGCCGCCAAGTGATTCATGATCATGCCTCATGGCTGCAGGGGGTGACCAAGCATTCCTTTCCGCCAGCTTGCTCCTTCGGAGATTTAGAACATGCTTTACCGCCCGGAACATATGACTGCAAAGATTCCTTCCTTGGAAAATTTCGAGACATCGGAAAGAGTCAACTCATGCGCCGACAGTGGTGCTATGCGCATTTGCGCTATTGCAGCATTTTTGGGCCCTCTGCAGAGACCGAACTAGATGTATCAGGTCTCCCATGCTGGGACTTCAGCCTAGCTGGGCGCCGTAGAAGTGAACAAGGATTGACTTCCACTGTGTTTATGACACACGCTAAGATCCATCAGGAGCGTCAGACACCCCTGCTGATCTTAGAAAACGTGAAGGCCATTTGCAGTTACCAACAAGGGTCTTCAGGATTAAAAACATAGCCCTGCAAACGCAATTACGCCATGGAAAGTCAATTGGTTGCACATCGGCACCCCACCAATAACTGGCTATTAAGATATTAATAGCCACTACTAGTTGCCAGGGCAAATTCTGCTTGGTTGAGAACTCAGTTTGACAGGATGGAAAAGTTCCCGGTAACTGAGTGACTTTGTTTCATTGTAAATTAAGGGGCCTGTAAATAATCTCATGGCAACACCCTGGGGTCCAAAAATTCCCGCTTCTTTCATGTTGCAGGCGTTGAAAATCAAAATGATCGAGCTACTCTATGCCGATTACGATTTGTTCCCCATTTTCCTGGACGTGGCTGATCAAGGCCATAGCGGCGCCAGCCGACCACGTGTCTATATCATTGCAGCACACAGGAAGCGGGTTACCCAAGTCCAATGTGTGTTTGAACTCTACAGGGTGGTGACCAAATCAATTCGCAAACATGTGAGCACCTCTCCTTCGGATTACCTGATCTCTGACCATTGGGAAGTGATGCAAGAGGCATCCGTACATGCACGAATGCGAAAGTTGAAATTTGTTCCAGCCCCTCGAATGCGGATAGTTGTTACCCACAACATTAAATTTTGGTTGCCACCACATATTTCAAAATTAATTTTGGGTTTGACATCTAAAATGTGGATAGTAATAGAACAACCTCATCACAATGAATAGTATACAATTCCTGAGATTTCATCTCTAGTTCAAGGGCTTTGGTCCGGAAAGGTACGTTGCGACATTTTACCTTTGCATACTGGATGACAAAAGTGGGCTAATAAGCAGCTATTAGACTATTGTTTGGTGGGTTGAAACCGTTCAAACAAAAAAGATAGATGCTGAATTGAATTGTCACGCACACTAAGGTGAAGCCTGGGCAAGGAATCGATTTGAGAGGGTTGCTCAACAAAAGGGAAGGCCGTGTTCTCAAAGCATTGTGCAAGCGATACAAAGATCGCTTCCAGAAAGACCCCAGCAAGGACAAGGACTTGATTATATTCCTGGGAGACTCAGAAGAACGTGCCTGTTGGTCAGCTGTCAACAGGCGCATTCCAACTTTTCGCAGAAACAACGGTAAGTTCTGGTCCGTTGCCGCCCGCAGGTGGCTCACATCAAGGGAAAAACTCTGCTCCTTGGGCTTCCCAGTGTCCGGAGGTCAGAGCCTGGCTATGGGCGTGCCCATCCTTCCAATGACGGATACTAATCGGGCTCAGGACATCCTCGGAAATTCGATGTGCTTTTCATCAGTTGGCATCATTGAGTTGGTGGCATTGGCCAGTTTTCGCCTTGTGGCCTAAATGTCTACAGTGGCTGAAGCCAGTACAGAGACAGGGCGGTGGTGCATGATAGGAATTTTTGCTGCGGACTAAAAAACAGTTTTGCAGAAGCCAGCATTTCCGCAATGAATGAAATGTATTTATATGGAATGTGTCAATGACAATGGCAATCCCTTTTGCAAAGTTCCATGATGCTGTTGCGACCATGGATCATTGCGGACAAAACCAACATTCCAACAGTGATTTCCCAACAATCATGGATTGCCCAGGGGCTACAAAACACCACCAACCATGGTGGAAAGGTTATTACCTCTCTATTCCTGGTGTCGGTGTTCAGGGGAAACCCATTTGCCTTAACAATGCATCCCTTTGCACCACCAGTAAACCACTATTAAGGGTTTATTAGCAGTCTAGTCTTGTTTGTGGAGCCTTGTGATTTCAAAGGATGATAAAGCAGCAAATATGTGTTCGATTCAGCTCAGCTTTGTAAGATCGAATTCGGACATCTTTTGTCACATCCGGTGCTGTGAGCATCATGGGAAAGCCTAAAGGCAAGATGGCCACAGCCGCTCCTTCGCCGGCAGATCTTCTGCCGATGCCAGTACCAAAGGTGGTGAGGAAAGCACCGCCCCCACCTGCGGCTCCCGCTCCGCCAGCCACTGACCCATTTCCTCCCAGGGCACCTATGACAGGCAGCCAACAAGATCCTTTGGTGTTCCTAGACTAACGCAGTCAGATCGTTCAACCCCAACTATGTGCCTGCAATGGTTGGGCCTTTTGATGACATAAGACCTTAATAAAAGGTTATTAGCTGTGTCAAGGGCGCCTGGCGCTAAAACATGTGGGAAATGTGTCCTATTTCTGATTCATTTTACGGGCCCCAGGCTGACCGTAGCTGTCCCACCAACCAACATGGCCAATCCATGGCCAACAATCATCAAGTTTTTCAGATGCTGTCAGTCACCAACACCAATAAAGGACAATAATGTTTTTTAGCCACCTAATAGTGGTCAATTTGGTTTATCTACAGTCCTTGGAGGGACACGGTGAGGGCCCTCCAACCACCTAGCTATCATCCAAGGTGGCCTGGTGGCTTCATCGTTGGTCTGGAGCCAGAAAGGGGCTCCCGCAAGAACACTTCGGAAGTCCCGGCACCGAAAGTGAAACCGGATGCCAAGGCAAAGTCTAAGACGGGGCGGCGCCGGGTAACTGCGATGTTGAAGGGCCCTCTCAAGAAGGTCATTGTCGCTTGGTGAAACAAACCAGCTTGTCCAATCTATTTTTAAAAGAGAAAATGTATCAGACTATAGTAGAGGTTCTGGCTGCACTCATGGTCAGAAAACAAATAATATGTGAGAGGCATCACAAGCTAATAAACTAAACACCACAATGGAATGGCAAACAGGTGGCATAAGGGTGTGATTGGCTGATTTTCCATGTGGGTTTCAAAATTTTTCAGGTACTAATGGCTTATGCTGGGTTTTGCCAGATTCATGGGGTGTTTGATGATGAAGTATTTTACCGAATTCGGAAAGGCAGAGCGGGTTCCAGTTCCTAAGGGAAGCCCAAAACTTTCACCCCCGGCTTGCCCGATTCCGGCTAAGACTTGCCATTTGATGGATTGGCTGCAAGCGGCTGATCCCGTCTTCGGGGGCAAGCAGATCACGGAGAAGCTCGAAAGGCCGCAGATCTTTGACATGTTGGCCTTCATGACAGGATGGTGTCCTGAAGAAAACCCCATCTCGATGCTTGACAATGATTTACCGATCAATAAGGGTCTAATAAGGGAATAATAAGGGATTAATAAATACCTACTCAAAAGTGACTACAAACTTACTTAAGCCATTTTTAACCTAAGACCTGCTGCCTTCATTGTTCATTGAAGGCTTTCTCCTGAAGTTCAAGTCGTGGGGTAGGATGGCATGCTAGTTGTCCCAGAAAGCACTGCTGTTTTGACATGAACGTTTCCACCACGAGAATAGTTTTGGAATTCTTACTGCACGCCACGAAATGGGCACTGTTTTTAAATTCAAAACTGAAATGTCTGGGACCTGGGATATCTTGGGATCGCATTGGCGCGGTGTGACTTTGGCCCTGTGCTTTGCTATGGACAAGAAGCAACGGCCATGTATTAACCTGTTATCAATACCTGTTTTCTCCAATAATCAATAAATTCAAGCCCAGGAAAGTTCCGGAAGAGATGGAGGAACACGCACGGAATGAGTACAAACGTCGCGGGTCGCCAGCGGCTTCAACCCGCTGGGGACCCGAGGACATGAAAAGGTACTTGAGGTGGCAGATCAGCAGTGGGATGTCGATTGGCGGGTGCAGCCATAAACTGCCGCAAGCAACGGGCAACAAGCCAGCTCCGATGTGTCCACATGTGGTGGCATGGGAAAAGTCGGGTGGTGTACCGGGAGCGGTGGTGCGTGTTGCGCCTCCCCCCCCAGAGACGCAGCAGGGGCCGGACATCCCCACAGCAGGTTACCAAACAATTGTTGAAAAGAAGAAATGGCACCTGAGCCACCCCTCGTTCCCCAAGGTGAAAGTGTCCCTTACAGTCGAATCCAGCGAAAAGCCACTTCTCTACAAGGACGGCGATGATGAAGACGTGGTCTTCACGAAAGCTACTGGGCCACGATACGCCCAAAGCCTGTTTGAGGAGTTCATGGAGAAGGGCCGCAGCAAGAAACCCGGGGCTGTGGCTGAGTCACACGCCGTCCAGAAGTTTCTAAGCCATCTTTTAGCAAACTCTTTGTTTGAGGCAAACCAGAAAGTGGAAGAGAAAATGCCAAGATAACCATAACCGAAGAAAATCTCATGAAATCTACAAAGCATGGGTTCCTGACTGAGGTTGAGAGGTATGATCCCTGGAGAAGCTCATGCGCCAGAAATCCCTGCTGCCGAGGCGGGGCCCAGCCAATTCCTCACAGGTAAATCTCGAAGGGCTTATTAAGTGCTTATTAAGTGCTTATTAACTTATTAGCTTGTGAAGGGGCTTATCATTGCCAAGGGGTGGAGCTATGAGGAAGCGCAGCACATTTGGTTTTTAATCTATCACCCTGCAGCAATGATCCAACGGGTTTGCAAAGGATATATCCAATAACCGTAAACAACCACGAATTCACAATCATCAGTACAAAGAATGAAATCCACTGGGCCACTGGATTCTGATTTGAGGGACCTCGACAAGGACATGCATCAAGGGTTTATCGATCACATGTCTGGTAAACCAACGATGTTTCGCGAGGCTTTGAATTCCAAAAACAACCCAGAAGGGTTGCCTTTGGACCCCATGTTAATATGACAAGCTTGCGAACATGCAGGCTGAAAATGACGACTTCAGCGCCTTCGTCTCGGAATCTGAAGATGAGCAGGAGGACCCCCGGGAAAACCCTACAACGTCATGGCATTTGTTCAAACGCGCCCCATGCCACGATCGAACACATGGGGCGTATTGTCAAATTGTACAACATGATCAGATCTACCACGACATTGTTTTGCTGTTTGCATCCAGGTTTTCCTTTCATCTTGGGAATGGTTACCCGGTCAACATTCACAATCAAAAGTGTCCGAATCAAACAGTTGTTTTGTATTGTAGATAGGTAATAATTATTTAATAGCACCTTATTAACCCCCTATTTAGGGTTGACAGCCATCTGAAAGGATGGCGAAGAAGAAGCAGAAGAGGAAGCCGATGAAGAACTTGAGGAGAATCTGGAGCCCCCGGAGTGGGAACGCCTTCTGATCTACACTCCCACGAAAGGTGTTCCTGTGCTGATTGACCCAGTCAAAGAGGTGTATGTTACTTTGAAGAAGGGGGTCCCTGACTTCACCCTTAAGCCCATGGTCACCGGCGGGGAATTCACGGGCTACCTGCTACAGTCTAAGACTAGCCAGTATGGAGTTCAGCCCGTATGGGCCCATCAGCTCATGTCTTCAATGGCTGCAAAAAGCAAGCTGAAGCCAGCTTCGGCGAATGCTGAGATCATGGAACAGATCAACGCAGTGCGAGCTTTGAAACCCCCGACAGAAGCCCCCCAAAACAAGGAAACAGTACCTCAGAAGCGCTCCGCACCCTCCCCGAAAGCATCCCCACTCAAGGCTGCCAAGACTTGTGGCTTGGGGCATGGCTTGGTGGTCGCGTCACCGGAAGAGGTTCTGACCCCGAAGATTCTGCCAAGGGCTTCGGCTGCAGCCGAATCCGCACCTGAGAAGTCACCGCTGGAAGACAACTCCCAGGACCTGCCGCGTGTCTGTATAATATTGGAAATCAAATACATTTCATTACAAAGAAACGTTTGCTACTGATGACGGGGAATGTGTTGACAATCCTTTTAGTGGAGGGTTCCATACAATATATAAGATTCCCAAAAAACAACAAGACATCGAATTGTTGTGCCAGGTAACCCTAAGGCTTCCAACAATCTCCACTAGCACCACCAAAAAATCTTGCAATAATGGTTATTTTTTTGAGACTCAATCGACGGCTCATGGCATTTCGTGTCCAGGGCCACTTGCCCACCCTCTAGTGCGTGGGCCATGCAGGACGGAAACGGAAATGAAGAGGCCGAAAAGGAGGAGGCGCGGGACATGGAAGGAGATGTTGTGCAGAACCCTGTAATGACAAGTTCCACCAAGAACAACAAGTATTTTGTTGGTCAATTTTGTTGGGAATCCAAAACAATGAGATGTGATGTCAGGAACCGGAGGGGGCCCAACAATCTCCATTTATCTTAGCACCACAGAAGGGTGTAATAAGGGTGTAATAAGGGTGTAATAAGGGGGTAATAAGGGGGTAATAAGGGGGTAATAAGGGTGTAATAAGGGAATGAGATGTTGTGAAGGACCTTGTAATGACAAGTTCCACCCAGAACAAATATTTTGTTGGTGAATTTTGTCGGGAATCCAAAACAATGAGATGTTATGTCAGGAACCGGAGGGGGCCCAACAATCTCCATTTACCTTAGCACCACAGAAGGGTGTAATAAGGGTGTAATAAGGGTGTAATGAGGGTGTAATGAGGGTCAATGTTATCTTCAGAGTAATAACGATTGAAATTAAGTCCCGCAGAACAGCATTTTTATAGAGCCACCAACCAACCAGCAGGACGATAAGAACGCCGACGACCAGGAGCAGGGTGAGGCCCGGGACATGGCTAGAATAGTGAAACTTCGTACTCGGCCTTCTCCCCATGTTGCTTAATTCAACATTCTTATTTCCAACCAAAGCATATTTCCTCACGACCCAAATAAGAGGGATTGTTGGCATATTTTTTGGGGCACAATGTTGTGGAATCGAAAATTAAATGAATGACATGTTTTTAAAGGGAACCATACGTCTTCCAAAAATTGCCAGGGCACCAACAAAAACACTAATAAGAGGCTAATAAGCTTCTAATAGTTCATAAGGGTTCATTTTATGATTGAAATAGCCCCAAAGAAAAGTGTCCATAGCGCCACCAGCGAGCGCAGGATCAGCCAGATGAGGATGATGATGATGACAAAGAGCAGGAGGAGAAGCAAGACCAGGAGTGAGTCAATCCGTCATCGTCCCCCGTACTCATGTGATGCATGCACTAGCAACTGGGACGTGATTTCTTAAATACCCCAACTGCACGTTTCTGTGATGAATCTTTTACTTGTATATATTCAAAGTAGGTGGGGACGGGACATGAAGGATGTTTTCACAAGTTGCGCGGAGTGCGCTGAGTGAATTGTGAAAACCCGGCTGAAATCTGCGCTACGAGTAGGCGCTGTCTTTTTGGCAACCTTGAATCATTCAAAAACACCATCTGCCCCGAAATTCAAAACAACATTGGGATTGAAATTTGGAAATCCAGGGACATATCTCGAACAATTGAAGGGCAGATGGATGTGTTCGCAAGGTGTGGAATGCGGACTGCGTCAGCCGTGCACAGGACCTGGTTGAAATCTAATTCGCACGACGAGGAAGCGATGTCTTCCAACAGCCATGTCTGATGTTTTCAGATTTCACCACTCATTTTGAACCATTGGAAAGCTGTGGGGTCCTGGAGAGCATAGTGAGGCTATGTGAGGCTTTTGACCTAGGAAGATCGAATTAATTTTTAGTTTGCAAAGAGTGGGTGAAACACAGCGTTTGACGCAAGCTGGTCAACATCTTCTGCGGATCGCACAGAACTGCTACAGCAAACATTGCCTCTGTTGACCTTTATGGCAGCGAAAGGTAACACACTCTCCCCAGCAAATAAGATCAAATAAGTGGTTATTAACCAGTTAATATCAGTTAATGTTGTTGTAATGGGGCTATCGAAAACCCATTTAAGCCAGGATTTTATCTCTGTTATTCAATCCACTCCTCTTTACTTTGGGCATTCCGAAGTTACAAATGGCCGTGTTTTAGGTCAAGCCACTCAACCCAGGCGCTGATGCTCCAAGTTGCTGACACTGGTATTTACCCAAGCTCCCACACTGCCTAGTGGCTCAGGTCAAGAAGTCTACCCACTGGGGCAGCTTACAGGAGACATCGGTGTTCAGGACAGGGTTTTATGGGTGGCTGGTGTCTGGTGCTGGATTTTTCAGCCAAAAGCGGGTGGCACTCGCAAAATGGAGCCGCAACGCTCCCGAAACATCCCAAAACGGAATTGTTCATGTAATATTTTTTCGAAAAACAGTTACTAGGCTTTCTAGGCCAACAATTGAATTGAGCCTGTTCTGTATCAAATCACCCGATGATCCGAAACTACAATGCCGCAAGGACAGCAATTTCTGGCCAGGAAAGCAAGGCTTTCTTTGTCGGGGGCCAATTGTTGGGATCGGGTTCAGGCGTTGTTTGTGCTTCCCAATAAAAAGGTGGATTTGATGGAATTAGCGGACGAAAATAGGCCCCCTTTCAAAGAACCGTTTCAACAATGCCTATTCAGGAGTTAATAAGCTTTTCGTGTATGTTAAGGAGTTAATAAGCCTTTCATGGGTTCGATTTCAATATAAACAAAGCATTGCCATTAAAACTCTTCCGTGGAGCATTTGAACAGGATTTGTTAAGGGAAGAATTCAATAGCTGCCTATCCACAGGGGGTCTGCCAGCTAATAGCTGGTTAATAAACGTTTATTACACTCTAAGATAGTTACTGTTGGTGGTGGCATGCAGTGAAATGTCGCCGCCTCAAGCTCATTTTCGATCTTGAAAGTTGACCTGTTGAGAAGTGGCCTTTCTGCGCTTCTGCTGCTCGGTTGCAAAAGCGCTAGCTTCAAAAGAAAACGGATTTTTTGATCACAGTGAATGTGTACCTAGTTTGTCCCCGGGAGTCCATTTGGTGGATTTGGTAGGGACTTCAATATTCAGTGAACACGTTCTGCTCATGGAACCATGGTTGACCCCAAAGAATAAGTATCTATTAGGGAGCTATTAACATGTTCTGTTTTCTTGCAGGGCACCAGGTTCACCTTTGCCATGAAAAAGCTGTTGGTATCTGAGGTGGGGCGGACCAATGGCACCGAAACGAAAGAAAATTGACTCATTCACCGATACTTGGCACGGACTGCGTGGTGGGCATCCCATGACCAGAAGCCTCGGTCCATGGCAATCTGCTATCTAATTGGATTTCTTATATAACATTGAACATACAAAATTTTACTCTTGACACATTCAAAACCTAATTGATTTTATGGATCCACCTTTCTGGGGTCTAACATGACCCCAAAAGAGGCCAGAAAGATTGTTGATTGGGATATTGTGTCGGCAGGGATGGTGAGCAACTCGTGAGGGAATCAGAAATCCAATCACAAATTAGGGGCTTCTACGTTTTTGGGAAAGTTTTGGACTTGTGTGTAAGGGTACCCAAGCCCACCGTCAATTTGCGGCAACTCAGAACGATGAGTGGAAAGCATGGCTGAATTCAGCTGATCCAGAATTTCTTGGTCCATCTCAGACGCAGAACCTGTCTCGACAAGACTTGGCCCTTCTCGTTGCTTTTTCGTTCGGGTGGCCACCGTACGCGGAGGTCCCCAAGCTGCTAGACTGAATCAGATTGCACAAATCTTGAAATTGTGATTTCGGATTGCCCTTTTGTAGACTTAGGGGAAGTGATCTCATACCGCAGCCAATGAGATTGGGGCCATAATATTAACTTGGCAATTTGTGCATACACATTGCAATTTTGATAGCGGCGTGACGGACAGCCAGCCACTTGAGCGACACGAGGAACGCAACCACGCACGTCGCACTGCTGAAAGAGTCCAAGAAGGAGTATGCCAACAGAGGAAAGCCAGCGCAGCATACGAAATGGGATCCTTGTGAGATCATCAGGTATATGAAATGGAGGCTTTCAGTAGCTTCTGCGGGTGATGATTTGGGTGCTATGGCTACCCAATTGCCTGAAGGCACAGCGGGTCCCGCACGTTTGCCCCAAGAAGTCATTGACTTTGAATCGAAGGACAAAGGACGACTTTTGACTGATGATTCAAAAAAACATGAAAAACCCCAGTCATCCGCATGGAAGCCAAGGAAAGCACCATACCCCACAAAGGATGTGGCAAAAATCCCCGACAAATTTCCGTCCACTGGCTACGAGTTAACATTCCAAGCCAGCTCCATTCGCCCTTGGGTGTTGCAACACCCGGATTACCAATTCGCATTCCAGATGCTCCCTGATGAGTACATTCTCTACCAAGATGAGAGAGGTGAAGATGTTATTATTGGAAACAAATTAGGTCCAATCTATTGCGCTGACTTGCTGCGGTTGGAAGCATCTGGCTTCCGCGTGCGGAAGGCCGAAGCTCTGGTCCGGGAGGGGCGGAGGGCAGCTCATGTGAATGGGAACCACTAACCGTGGTCGATGGTGAGTGATCCGGACTAATCCTTCCTAACCAAGAAATAAAGGGTTATTAAGGTGCTATTATGTGCTATTAGCCACCAACACCACTTGAGGGTTTGGTCAGCTATACAGCGGAGCCACGAAGAAACACGGCCAACAGCGACACTGCCTTGATATACGCCCTTCAAAACCTTTGTTAGTGGCCTTCCCCGAACCGATTGGTGCAGTAATACTATGCTAATAGCATGCTATTTCTAAGTGGACCGTTTGGAATGTGCTTTAACGGTTCCCATGAGCCCCTGCCGTTCTCCAATCTGGGAAACATGTTGGGGCTGCCAATTATTATGATATTATATGGATTCGGCATAATATGCTTTAAAGGGGTTTGGATAGTCCCTTATTAGGCCCTTATTAGACCCTTATTAGCCCCTTATTGGACCCTTGTTGGCAGCCAAGCCCACGCTAGGGTCAGCCAGACAGCGATAACAATACGAATTTGGACGAGGTTGACGTGCTGGTGCCGGAAGGACTGCCAATCTGTCACCATGGGGATTCAAATCAGATCAACCGATTTACAGTCGTACACAAACACTAAGAAGAATGGGATATGGTATGGGGTTCTTTGGAGTGTTGCTTTGGGGCTGCAGACTTTGAATGCATTGCTGACAAGGGAAGCCCACCTGCTTTTCCACCTATTTTTGATTTTGGCATAGAGTTCTGGTCATACATCGTTTGTTTTCTAGAACATTTTTGTTTTCGACGGGAGAAGCCGGTCAAATTTCCAACCCCCTTGGGAAACCGCTTCCAGGAGCCGCCAAGCCATCGAAAAAGCGCAAAGTGTAATGCTACGGCAGGACTCGGATTTCATATGCCGCGGGTGGTCTTTTAAGGTTTGGGCGCATGGCGGTTCTGGTATTCCCCACAATAAGATGTTATTAGGATGTTAATAAGGGTTAAAGTTTGGGGTACCATTCTGGATGGAGGGTCGCTTTTTGTCTATGTAGCAGAAAGGCGGAACGCAAACCCCAAAAGAAAGAATCATAATCATAATGAGGTGTTGCTGGGATGCTGTTAAGGAGCAAAATTGGGGTAACATTCTTGATGATTTTTTGATTTTGGGGTTTGGGGTACCTTTCAGGATGAATCGGAGGGAACCCCGAAATCATTCCTTAATAATGTGTTACTAAGGCATTGTCAAGGGGCAACCTTTGGGGTACCATACTGGATCCCACCAGTGAATCCACCCAGTTTGTTGGCCCAAGCAGAGCACAATAGTAGTACAGGAGTGGAATCGTCAGGCTGTCAGGGTAAGCATGGCTGCCATTGTCGTTTTCGCCTTGGGTGCTCTGACCATGGGGTTAGCCATGTTTGTTGGTATCGTCATGGAAGACCTGATGATTACCATGGCAGTGGTGGTAGTGTTCACCTCTACTACCATATGTTTCTCTTTGATGTCGGATGCCGGTGCCCAGCCTTCTCGCAGTGATGCGGAAGTGCAATGTTCCATGGGTCATGAACCCTTTGCCGACCAAGCCATCTATCTCGCCCCGAATAGTGTGCGCTGGCACAGGGTCAAGATGTGCAGACATCTCAAAGCTGCAGGTAAGATCAACACCTTGACTCCATGCAAAACCTGCTGTGGGACCGAATCCGTGACCGGGTGACCAGAAGGATTATGAACATGATCCTTGGCGTTCACAAAACCATCAAACTGGACATGTATCTCTTTCTTGGCCAATCTGAGCCACAATGAATAGACTGTTCACCCAGCGTCAGGTGAAGAAAAAGTTCGGGTGCAGGTCAGTTTGTCCACCAAAACGTGCTGTTTCACCCACTGCTTTTCAAATATCAGCTTGGGGGGCTCTTAATACCAATACAAATAGCAACACAAATTATGGTTTTGTTAGCCTCTTGCCTTCTTGGTGGGTTGTTGCTTGATTCGCTGGACCTGCCCCCTGCCGGAATATTTGTCTGCGGCCCTCCCTGGAGAAATAAACTAAGAGTATACTTGCTAATAGCACCTTAATAACCTCTTATTGGTAGGGATGACTTTTGGGGCCCACGCCAGGAAAATTGAAGACAAAGCCCGGGATCGCGATTCATGAAGATAAGTCGGAATCTGGTTGGGTCTGCCAATGGCTAGACTCTTGATACCCCCAGCGTTTTGAATGGTAAATTTTGGGTAGCTCAATGCTTGGTACACATGTCAGACCCCCGGATTCTGGCTTGCCATCGGCATGTGTGCGTGCCCAGTGCCGCACAGTGAACACGCCACAGCGTTTACGTACTGACTACGATCCAGTGGAAGATCCTTCTGTCCCATATTCAGGTATCTAAAAATGATGGAAAAATAATGACTATTCGAAGTATCTTCCTTCCTTGCCATTTTGCAAATTTACTGTGAATGAACTTTGCTCCGTACAAAAAGAGATGCGCCGGGGTGCACCTTGAATACCTTAAACCCACCAACAATGAGTGCTCACATCCTTAAAACAAGGTTTCACCACGGTTTTATTTGGCTTAATACACCCTTAATAAGCAATTGTTATCTATTATTGCTATGCCCGGTGATGGTGATCTGATGATTGCAAGGCGCAACAGTTTTCCATCTAGGGACACATTCAGTTTTAATATATTCCATCGTCACAGATGGGTTGCAAGCGGTATCCAAATTTCAAAGCCAATGGAATCAGTATCGGTTATCCTGGATCCAGAAGGGGCCCCGGCTAGATCTGCGTGAAATCAGTTGATTTTGAATGGGATCGCTAAGGTCATGATCAGAGCTTTGAACCACATCCTCTTTTCTATGACCTCCCACACCTTTGACAAGTGGTGTCCGTCGTTGCCCCTGACACTGGATTCCGTCTGGGAAGCGAAGGTTGATGTGAACGCGCTCCCTCTAATACGATGTGTGTCTTTATTTGCAGGAGATGCACATAGCATGAAATGTAAAGGCATATTGGGGCTTCCGGGGTAATGGTTCCATCTCAGATTTCAAATCAGCTTCACTTGCTACTGGCCTCTTTTTAGAAGTTTATTATGGGGATCACTATTTCCGTGAACTGAACCTTCATTTCCCTATTATGTCTTCATTGTTTGCCTATTATTTCCATTGTTTCCCTATTACGGACCCCTATTATTTCCCTATACTTGTACTTGTTATTTCCCTATTATTTCCTTATTATTGCCCTATTATTATTTCCCTATTTTTGTACCTATTCACTTTTTATTTTCATTTTGTGTCCCTATGAATCACCTTATTATTTCCATATTGCTTCTCCATTGTTTCCCGATTGTTTTCCTGATTTCCGTATTGATTCCCTACTATCCCCCTCCTATTTCAAAATTGTTCCCTTATTTCTCCCCCATTATTGCCTTAATATGTCCCTATTAATCCCTTATTATTGCCCTATTATTTCACTGTTGCTGTACCTGCTATTCACATTTTATTTCCATATGTCCGGCCCTATTATTCACCTGTTATTTCCATATTACTTCTCCATTGTTTCCCTATTGTGTTCCTATTGTTTCCCTACTATTCCCCTACTATTTGCCTATTATTCCCTCATTGCACCCCTGTTATTACCCTATTATTTCCCTATGAGTACCTTATTATTATCCCTATGAATCAACATTTATTTCCATATTACTTCTCCATTTTTCCCCATTGTTTTCCTATTATTTCCCTATTGACTCACTATTTTCCGAAACTATTGCCCTATTATTCCCTTATTACTTCTTTATTAGTGCATTATTACTTCCTTCTTGTGTCCCTATTATTTCCTTATCTTTGTCCCTATTTCCGTATTAAAATTTCTCCAACTTTGATTTCCGGCCCTCTAGACCTAAGGTAGTTGACGAAGAGTCATCCCAGAATAAAGGCTTGAATTTCTTGGCAGAAGTAGCCCATATTCGAATGGTCTCTCAACCTGACTTCGCACACCAGAAATGGAATGCATTTAAAAGGACCATGAGATGGGCAGGTCTCAACGTTGCGCTCATGAAACTTACAATCTTATGCGCCTGAGCTTGGACCCGACAGATTTTCTCAATTTTGTAGGTACACGAAAGCTCGTCCTTTGACAGCTGTACTCTGATGTAGGTGCCTCTTGTTTAAGTTGCTGAAGTAGTTTCAGCAATACCAAAGAACAGGCAGAAGCAAACATGTGCAATTTGGTGCGTTTTTTTTTTTGCAACGGAGGTAATTTCGCACATGGGAGCTACCTCACTGGGGAGAAGGGGCTAAAGCGGAGAGAGCTTTTCACAGAGTTTCTCTCGAAGCAATCCCGGGACTTTTTTGACGAGCTCGCGGAAGCGGTCCAGTTCGACCGAGACGATGACAAAACTGATGCTGATAGTGCAAAATTTTCAGCCCTAGATTTCCTGTCGGCAGGTAGCATCCGCAAACGTGGTGTGTATGTCAAGAACAAAGGGTGGTTTAAGCTTCATGCTGCCGTCAGAGCACTGGTGTACGATTGGACCATTATTCAACACGCCCTTGCCAGTATGGAGGTGCTTGGGATCTGACATAAGAGGCAGTTATTTTGCGTTATTTGGGAGCCGGCTTTTAGACAACGCCAACGGACCAAATTATGGCATAGGGATCCTAATTATTGGCACAACTAAAAGTATCTAGAAATGATCCTCCCAGTTTGTCAGTTTGTTGTTTGGAACCGCCATGCATCAACCATTGCTGTAAAAAATCGTTTATTCTTGCGAGGTCATTCGGGTACTTTTGAAAACCGTGTCATAGAATTGAATCCCATTAATTCATTGGATGTTCAGGAGCCAATAAAGCCTTATTAACCCACTAATAAGGAGATTGGTCCTTATGAGCCCTCTTCTGAGGCTTCTGAGATTGATCAGGACGATGGTGAAGAGGAAGAAACGGCCATGGCCGGGGATGAGCAAGTGAAAACAAAATCCGACCTTTACAAAAAATACGGTGGCAAAGGCCCTACCGCTATGGCGTATCATTTTGCACAGGATGAGCATTTACAGATTCAAGCCATATTGATCACCAGCTTGACTCAACCTGTAGAAAATGAGTACGCAAAGGATTTGAAACAAATGACTTTGGGGCCTGAGGCCCAAGGCATCTGGAACGCTCAGCGGGCACAGGGGACAAATCACTGGAAGCACACAATTGGAGAGATCTTGGATATCTTGCATTCCCCAAAGATTTACCAGCGGCTTCGTTTTACACTGCCCACCGAATCTTCTTTTGCTGAGCGTGGCCCCCCTGATTTACTGCAGGAGGAACGGGATGTTCTTCACATGATGTGGCAGCTTGGTTTGGAAATGTGCGCGCAATACACCTGCACGCATTGCATGTTTGGGCTCACGTTCCCACACTGCTTTTCAGTGTTTCTGCTACCGGACGACGCTGAACGAACTGCAGCTGTCAAGGAGATTCAAAAAAGTTGTTGAGGCTGTGCTGCTGGCCCACGAGAAGATCAAAGGTGGCAAAGGAAATCCAGCGCTTGAAGACTGTTTCAGAGACTTGGGCTGGCCCTTGACAGAGCTCAGTCTGGATATGGTAGCTTTGCTTGTGCAGTCCAACTTTGATCCCTCATGTCCAGCCTCCATACGTTTGGCAGAGCTAGTGTTCCAGGGCTCTAGCAGCACAAAGGATGTCATGGAAGCTGTATTTGCCCATCTACGCGACATCTCATACAAAAGCCAAAAAAGTCAGCGAATGTCAAACGATTCGAAATGGTTCTACTGTACTACGGCCACTAGTCCAATGACTGGTGGACATGATCGGTTTCTTCCTTCGCAGGAAGATTTGGCCCGCTACATTGAATCGCCTGCCTTTCGGCAAGGTGTAGCTTTGAGGGCCAAACACATCTATGATATGCGCTCAACACTGCTCCCGGGTTCGGCCAAATTTGACGCAGACAATATAGCCAAAACAAAATGGCGTCCCGCAGGACCCCTTTCGCACCAGCGGTCTGCAGCAGCCGGGGCGGTTCTGGTTGAATTGGCGAAGTCTGAATTCAAAAGCATTGGTGATACTTGGGCAGGTTTCTCGTTCAACATTGATTATTGTCACCAAAATAATGGGCTAATAAGCCCACAATAATAGGTAAATAAGCCCATAATTGCTGCCCTGGGGGATGGTAGTCATCTTCACAGCAGGAGCACTTCCAAATTTCATTGGGTTCAATTTCCTTACCGTGGCCGCTGCGGCAGCACCTTAAATGTTTACAGTTTACAACCCAAACACAGGATCCTATATTGCAACAGACCTTTGATATGAATTTAGTGTGGCCAATTCATTTCATATTTCCGGGATTTCAGCACTGCCAGATGATCGTTTTGGTAGAAAGTGATTGGGGGGGGGTTATGTCAGGCTGTCTCTTCACCCCAAGAGAGTTCTACAAGCACAAGCGGTCCAACCAGTATTTCCTTGCGTTGGGGTTCCGAAAGTGGGTTACATGGGCACTGCCAGCTGCTGCGGAGGAAGTGAATGGGCAAGATCCTTGCTTGAAATCACTGGGGTTGAATAATTGAACGGTAATCCCGATGAATATTAACGGGTTGAATGGTATTGGGCTTTGGGTTGGACAGTTACCATTGGCTTGTCCACTTTCAGTATCAGATCAACATTGCAGTACAGAAAATGATCCAAACTCACTAAGCTATAGCACACTATTAGACCCTTATTAAGGTGGTATTAGTGCCGTCCTGATTTCCAGGCATATCTACACCTCAAAACTTTGGCTGACGGATTTGCCGGCCCAGTGCCCTTGATCAACGTTCACATCTCTGATTCTTCCTGCGAATACCAGAACATATTGGTTGAGCTGACGTCCCCGGGAGCATTACCACCTGGTTTGAGAACAAGCGGGGCAGCATACAGAGTTGTCGATCCTGTTGGTCGTCCACTTCTGAATGCCGCAGTGAGTTATGGGACTTTCCTATACCTTGAGCAAATCAAATCAATTTTGGGGTCTCTACCAGATGTGCCTCACATGCAACCAGGGACAGGCTCCGGCAAGAACGGCCGGTTCGTTAAGGTTGACTTTGCAATTCACTTGACCAAGTACATTTTCCCGGAAGCCTCACCGGAAGAGGTTTTGGTCATGGTCAAGCGAATGTGTTTTTCCGGGACCCCAGGAGATGAAGTTGACGATTCCATTTTGGACTACCTTGATGCTTTAGATTCCGAAAATCAGGAAGCCTTCGCAGACATGAAGCGCATGGCAAAAGAAGCACGGGAGAATAAAGAGACTTTCGACATGACCAAAGTCAGGGAAAAGCTCGGCCTTGGCCCCAAGTCACGGGATGAGGATCCGGCGCCGGAACCAGCACGAGAGGCTGCGCAAGACAAAAAACGCCCGGAACGGGCCGCATCAGTGGAGCGACCTTCGGGCTCTAGAGGGCCAAAACGTGCCAAGGTGACTCCTCCGCAATTCCGAGATTTATTTACGCCGGACATGCAAGCCAAAATGTTCTTCTACCATGACCGAGACAAGCAGAACGTCAGAGTGTCTTACCCTGGCAGAACCTTGGTCCGAAAGGTTGGTATTAGGCCCTTATTAGCCCCTTATATGAGGCCCTTATTAAGACTTCAACAACATGGGGATCGGCATATGCTTAAAAAATGTTTGGATAGCCCATTATTGGGCCCTTATTAGTCCCTTTTTTCTTATTGATGCTTCATTACAATGAACATCATCAGCGTCCAAAACACATGGCCAACGATACATGAACGCAGGCTTGCCTCAATGGATTCCTCGTTTACCAGGGCATAATGTGCTTTAAAAGGGCCCAACAAGTCCCATGTTGGGCCCTTTATTAGGCCCTTATTAGGCCCTTATTAGGCCCTTATTAGCCCTTATTAGCCCCTTATGGGACCCTTATCAGACCCTTAGTAGGCCCTTATTAGACCGTTATTAGGCCTCATGTGTCCCTTATGCGTCCTTTATGAATCACTTACTCCCCAACAGGGTAAGCTAATGTGGTCTTCAGCCCAGAATAGCTCCGGTGTGCACTGGTGCAGGTGCCGGGTCAGGTTCAACGAGGTCCCGGAGAAGGTTCCGAAGGTTCCGGAGAAGGTCTGGGAGGCTTTGGTGCAGAGCCAGGTCACGTTCAACAGCAACAGGGTTCCGGAGAAGGTTCGTGAGAAGGTCTGGGAGGCTTTGGTGCAGAGGCAGGTCAGGTTCAACAGGGGTTCCAGAAGCTTTGGTGCACAGCCACGTCAGGTTCAACAGGGTTCCGGAGAAGGTTCCGGAGAAGAGCCAAGTCAGGTACAACAGAGTTCCGGAGAAGGTTCCGGAGAAGGTCACAGGAGGCTTTGGTGCAGAGCCAGGTCAGGTTCAACCGGGTTCCGGAGAAGGTTCCGGAGAAGGTCTGGAAGGCTTTGGTGCAGAGCCAGGTCAGGTTCAACAGGATTTGCGGCCATTTAACTCACGGCTCACGGAAACCCAGCTGAGGTGTTTCCAGCGCTTGGCTTCGCAGCACGCTTCAGAAAGATTTGTAAAAATAAAACGTTGCGGCTGTTGGGGATACCACCGAAGCTTATTTTTTTCTTGTTGATGCTTTATTGCAATGAACCTCATCAGCGTCCAAAACACATGGTCAACTATACATGAACGCAGGCTTGCCTCAATGGATTCCTCGTTTACCAGGGCATAATGTGCTTTAAAAGGGCCTAACAAGTCCCATGTTGGGCCCTTTATTAGGCCCTTATTAGCCCCTTATTAGCTGCTTATGGGACCCTTATCAGACCCTTAGTAGGCCCTTATTAGACCCTTATTAGGCCTCATGTGTCCCTTATGCGTCCTTTATGAATCACTTACTCCCCAACAGGGTAAGCTAATGTGGTCTTCAGCCCAGAATAGCTCCGGTGTGCACTGGTGCAGGTGCCGGGTCAGGTTCAACGAGGTCCCGGAGAAGGTTCCGAAGGTTCCGGAGAAGGTCTGGGAGGCTTTGGTGCAGAGCCAGGTCACGTTCAACAGCAACAGGGTTCCGGAGAAGGTTCCTGAGAAGGTCTGGGAGGCTTTGGTGCAGAGGCAGGTC